GTTGGTGCACCTACAGGTAGTTTAAGTGACTAACGTGCTAGCTAACAAGATGCAAAGTAAACTGTATTAGAACTGGTGGAAATCAGTTGCATTGTTTTGAGGTCACAACCTTACAAAATGCCAGAGTAACTGATTTAAGTCCCATTATTTGTTTGAAGGATTTGTTAATAATAAGAAACCTATAGAAAACTGCCAACCTTTTCTTCTAAGGGCCTGACCAGTGATTTAGCTCACTTGGAACATCCTACACTTTCATAGATGCCTGGAGCCTTTTGTTCTCAGTGTAACAGATGAAGTGAGAAGAAGTCTAAAAATAATACTGGTTAACAAACAAATTTGCCAGAATGTTTTTATTTTTTAAATTTTTTTACAATATTAATGGTTATCTGTCTGTAAATCGGCCAACAATTGCAACAACAGCTTGCTTTTTTTGGACTGTGGCCTCTTTTATTATAACATCTGTCTTTTCTGTTTCTGTTACAGGTGTCCATGGCTTTCAGAGCATTTCTCACTAGCTGTGCCCATCTACAATGGAGTTATCTTCCTGTTTGTTTTGGCTAACTTCTGTATGGCCACATTCATGGACCCTGGCATCTTCCCAAGAGGTGAGCGTATGAACGGTTGACTGTTTCGTATCTGACACCAAATGGACTACTAAACACTGTTTGCAGTATGTTTATATTGCTGTTGTAGCAAAATTGTTGCCTTTTGGCTTAATTTTACAAGTGTATACATTTCTTGTTTTTTTTTTTTTTTTTTTTTTCAAGCAAAAATAAAATGACTCCCTGTTATAGTCTAAGATGTCTCCTTTCCATTTTAATAGTCTCAAAAATATGCAGATTCTGTGGATCAGCATGTATCAAACTTGAGGGACAGTACGAGTTAAAAATTCAGAATTCAATTTGGTTTGAATAGAAAGTTACAATATGTAACATTTTTCAAATACTTTTGTAGAAAAATGTTGCATTCTCATTTATTGTAATTTCATAATGACAAATGTCTGAAGAGCTGGACAGAGTGTAGCGGTTCGTAGTGAAGCAGAGTGGTGGGATTTAGAGAATCACGTTAGTGCTACCTTAAGTTGCACTTTGTAACTTTAAGGTAGCACCAACACGGGATCAACCAGAAATTGAAAACCTGTTTAATATATACAGTTGAAGTCAGAAGTTACATTAGGGCTATGTACTGGCAAGAATCTGGCAATACGATGTGTCATAAAATAAGCAGCATATCACAATATGCATAAAGTCTCTTGTTTTAAAAAAAAAAGAGAAAAAAAAGAAACTAATCAGAGCAGGGCTCTGCATTTCATTTGCATGTGTCACAGTCCCTGTAACATCCAACAACATAGCACTGCTTGGCATGTGAACTATTAATTAAAAATCTATACAGTAGTTTTGAGAATTGATACAGTACCATAAAGCAAAATATTGTGATACTCAAGTGTATCTGTTTTCTTACACCCCCTATTTTACAAACCCCAATTCCAATAAGGTTGGGACATTGTGTAAAATGTAAATTAAAACACAGTACAATGACTTGCAAATCCTTTTTGACTCATATTTAATGTTCAAACTGATAAATTTGTTTTTTGCAAATATTCACTCATTTTGAATTTGATGCCTGTAACACGTTCCAAAAGAGCTGGGACAGGGGTATTTTTACCACTGTGTTGCATCACCTTTCCTTTTAACAACACTTAATAAGCATTTGGGAACTAAGGACACTAATTGTTGAAGCTGTGTAGGTGGAATTCTTTCCCATTCTTGCTTGATGTATTACTTCAGTTCATCATCAGTTCGGGGTCTGCATTGTCGTATTTTGTGCTTCATAATGCGCCACACATTTTTAATGGGAGACAGGTCTGGACTGCAGGCAGGCCAGTCTAGTACCCACACTCTTTTACTACGAAGCCACGCTGATGTAACGTGCAGAATGTGGCTTGGCGTTGTCTTGCTGAAATAAGCAGGGACGTCCCTGAAAAAGATGTCGCTTGGGTGGCAGTGTGCTCTAAAACCTATATGTACATTTCAGTGTTAATGGTGCCTTCACAGATGTGCAGGTTACCCATGCCATGGGCACTAACACCCCCTCATACCATCACAGATGCTGGCTTTTGAACTTTGCATTGATAACAATCTGGATGGTCCTTTTCCTCTTTAGCCCAGAGGACACGACATCCATGATTTCCAAAAACAATTTGAAATGTGGACTCGTCAGACCACAGCACACTTTGCCACATTCCCACTTTGCATCAGTCCATCTCAGATGAGCTTGGGCCCAGAGAAGCCGGTGGCATTTCTGGTTGTTGTTGACATATGGCTTTTGCTTTGCATGGCAGAGTTTTAACTTGCACTTGTAGATGTTGCGACGAACTGTGTTAACTGACAATGGTTTTCCAAAGTGTTTCTGAGCCCATGTGGTCATGTCCTTTACTGAATATCAGTTTTTAATGCATTGCCACCTGAGGGATCGAAGGTCATGGGTATTCAATGTTTGTTGCCTTGCCGCTTACGTGCAGAGATTTCTCCAGATTATCTGAATCTTTTGATGATATTACGGACTGTAGATGATGAAATACCTAAATTCCTTGCAGTTGTACATTGAGAATTACTTATACAGTTTTTATACTGTTGTGCTATTTGCTCGTGTATTTCACAAAGTTAAACAGGATTTTCAAGTCAGTGTATTCAGTTTTTGTTTGTTTGACACAATGTCTCAACTTCATTGGAATTGGGGTTTGTATATATACCTTAATCAAGCCGTCCCTGGTAGGCTAGTGGTTAAGGCACAGCGCTCTCGCCGTTGCGGCCTGGGTTCGAATCAGGGTTGCGTCAGGAAGGACATCCGGCATAAAACGTGCCAAATGTCAACCTGCGAGTCGTCAGTGTGATGAGTTGCTGTGATAACCCCTAAACAGGAAAAAGCCGAAAGTGACTATATACACCTTAACCAAATACATTTAAACTCAGTTTTTCACAAATCCTGACATTTTATTCTATAAACGTTCCCTGCCTTATGTTAGTTAGGATCACTACTTTAAGAATTTGAAATGTCAGGATAAAAGCAGAGAAAAAGGATTTATTTTAGCTTTCATTCCTGTCGTCACATTCCCAGTGCATCAAAGGTTTACATACACTTGGTTAGTATTTGTCTTTAAACTGTTAAACTTGGGTCAAATGTTTTGGGATGCCTTCCAAAAGCTTCTTACATTGATTTGATTTATTTATTCTTTCAAGCATGTAAAGACAGTTGATATATCAACACACATAATTTTACACATATCCAACAAATGCTAATCCAATATCAATTTGCTTATACCTAGTACATGCTTGAATGGAGTAGGAAGAAGTCAGACTTATCCAGTCCTACCCCATGACATCATCTTACATCATTGGTTTGCAAGCAGTATCTCTACATAAATAATTCTCTTCCACACCACACAAGTAATATACTAAAAAAATT